AGTTCACTAATGCCTAGGATATCAATCTTTATGCATTCCATTTCATTTTTGACAACTTCCAATTTTCCTAGATTCATACTTCATACATTCCATGTTCTGATTATCAATGGATATTTGCAGCTGTTTCATCTCATATTGAGTTGTGCCACTTCAGCAAATGGAGGCCCTGAAAGCTCTACTTTATCTGTATCATTAAGGTAGGCTCTATTCTGATGAGGCAGCTCTTTCTCAGTCATATTTGGAGTGTCTTCCAACCGGAGGGGCTCATCTTCCAGCACTGTATTGGACAATGTTTCAGGGCTATTCATAAAATTTTCCAGTAATATATCAGACAGTGTTTCACTACTATTCATAAGGTTTTCACTGGCCAATTCTTTGAGAAGTGTATAGCCTCTTCCTTCTTCAAAGTCTGTGTCAGTCTGGAAGTTCCACCAAAACTGGTCCATCATGGGCAGCCCTGCTGGCACAGCCTCCAGCCTCACAGCAACAATCAAGCCACCATGGTACAACAAACCAAAAGACAAGTTTGTCTCCCTTAGCTGTTCCAACCACTCCACTCACTTCCTGGGTTTCCTCCTATCTGTTCCTGCTGGCCCTGTCTGCTACCACTCCCTGCTGCCTTGGGGGCTGTCCTGTGCCCTCCTTACCTGTTCTGGCCACCAGCCCTGTCTGCTGCTGCTCCCTGCCACCACATCATAAAATGCTCATCATAATATAAAATAATGGAGTCCCTAGGTAGTGTCAACAGTTAACATTCTTGGCTGTTAACCAAAACATTGACAATTTGAGTCCACCCAGAGACAGCTCAGCTTTGATGCACTTAAGAATTTAATTTTCAAAAGGTCCCAGTCATCTAGTTTCTCTTCTGTTGTTTGTGCATTTTGGGTTATGCTTGATAGCCCATTTATGGCATAAACTGGAGCCCCTAAGTTTGCCCCTATTTTATGTTTGATGAACTTTATAGTTTTGGGTTTTACATTTAGGTCTTCTGATTATTTTCTGAGGATAAATTCCTGGAAGTGAAATTACCAGGTCAAAAGATACACCCAGTTTAAATCATAATTTAATAAACATATCGCCATACATTGTTATTATTAGCTGCCATGCAGTCATCCCCACACTCATGGCAATCCAAGGACAACAAAACATAATGCTACCCAGACACTGTGGCAACATTACCATGATCTGTTAGGATCAGACTGTTGTGATCCATAGAGTTTTCAGTGGCTGATTTTCAGTAGTAGATTGGTAGGCCTTTCTTTGCAAAAGTTGTACCATCTTGCATCTCACTAGCCATACACAAGAAATTGTACCTCAATTTAGGATTTGGTCAGGACTGTAGGATGTTTTTTGGTTACTTCATGCCACACTAACAGAAATACCACAGGTGAAATGGCTTTAACAAACAGGAGTTTATTCTCTTACAGTTTGGGAGGCCAAAAGTCCAAGTTCAAAGTGCCAGGCTCCAGGGGCTGGGTGAAAGCTCCTCAACCTTGGGCTTCAGCTCTGCCTCTTGCTCCTGGCCCACTGAAGCTGGAGATCTTCTTCACTCAGACAGCTGCTGGCTGCTGAGGCTGACAAACCCAAGGTCAATAAGTAACAAGGCACAGTCCCGATATTACCAAACCACGTGGCAGGCCATTGAATCAAGTCCATTAAGAGTCCCAAGATCAGCAGACAACATGGCAGGCTGCTGAACAATGACTAGGCTACATGCAGGGTCCAAGTGTGCCACCAGCTATAAACTATTCCCAAAGCTTCTCCTTTTCTATGGGAAGCAGACCACATCTCTAAAGCCCCTACTCACCTGCTCATGACAGATCCCATCATGGAATTGATTGCCAGTCTCATCATGGGGAATAACTACCACCAGCTGCCCAGCCACTCAACCAGGCCCAACCAAGTTGACATATAACCTTAACTACCACAGATGTGTCCTTTGCCTCCAGCCTGAAGGCTGCAAGGGCAGAGAAGGTGCTGAGGGAATCAGTCCCCAGAACCTTCTAAATGACCTAAGTGAGGGAGGAAGAGCCTGCCATAACACAAGGAAGGCAAGAGTCCTTTTGGATTCCCATTGCTGAATAGGAAAATATGCATGTGAATGATTTCCACGCCATTTTCTTGTGGCAGGTCACTGAGCATTTCATGAGATTTCCATTTTTAGTTTTCATAAACCAGGAGGAGGCCAACAGCATCTTACATAGGCAAAGACGAGCCAATTCATTTTTGGAAGAACTGAGGTCGGGGTCACTGGAGAGAGAGTGCAAGGAGGAACAGTGCTCATTTGAAGAAGCCAGGGAGATCTTCAAGAGCACTGAGAGAACTGTAAGTACCTCATCAAAGAAAGTACCTTCTGCTCTTCTTTGAGTGGTGTCAGTGTATTGTCTGAGACAGTGGAAAGGGGGCTGGGCTACATGATAGTTTAGGAATCCTCCTATCTCTTCGAGTCTGTGTTTCTCTATTGTCATGGCTGTGAGTGTTCCTCACTCAGGTGAAAACATAGACAGCTCCAGTGTACACAACCTCTTCCTGTCTGGACCACTTTTCCTCCCAAAAGATGGCTTCATACTCCTCAGTCAGAGCTCCAGTGACTTCATTCTCCTCAGTCAGAGCTCCTACAGTGATTTATACCTCTCACTTTGTTCAGGGAACCCTCCACTGCACACACTCTCTCCCATTCTCTATCACACCATGCATCAGAATTTTGCACCAGAAAACATAATTTGAAAAGCACACTTGATGTATACCTTACCTTTCAAAGAAAGGTCCCCCAAATAGCCCAGAAGATTCCAGGGGTGTCAATGCAACATGAAAGTACTCCTGACAGAACTGATCATGAGAAATGGGCCTTGGGAGAGACTCTTTTTGCCTCACCTACCTGGGTGCCTGCCTCCTTAGGGAAATTTTTTTTTTTTTTTGAAACAACAGTGAGGGGACCCATTGTTTCCTCCATCTGTACTTTGGCAGCATGTTTAGTTGTTGTTGTTATTGTTGTTATTTGCCATCGAGTTGGCCCCGACTCCTAGCGACCCCTCCTTGGGTTTCCGAGGCAGTTATCACTACGGAAGTAGGATTGCCCAACCTTCCTTCCGAGGAGTGGCTGGTGGGTTTGAACCGCCAGCCTCCTGGTTAGCAGTCAAGTGCCTTAGGCACTATGCTACCAAAGAGCTGTCCTTATCTTTTACTTCATTTTCTGTAAGATGAATTTTTTTTACTAATAGTGTGGCCTCAGGTTATGATGGGATACATAGGCTTTGGGTTCAGGGAGGAATTCTAATGTTCTCTGTTTAGGAAGATGGGTGACAGGATCAGGAGCTCTTGGACCAATCATGCCATGGTCCTCTGTAACTATTGTTTACTGGTGATTCTAGTCCTGTGCCTTTTTTCACCAGCTGCGATCATCCCATCCCTCACAATCACCAAGAAGTGGGGCTATCTGAGGCGGAAGTTAATATTTTTCTCTCAGACAAATTGAGGCTATTCACACCTTGCATTTGTATACCACTGTAATTTCTTAAGACATTGTCAACATTTCTCAACAAACTTTATTCTCACAGCAACCCTGTGAGGTATAACTTCAGTTGGCCAAAAGGCACCTCAAGAATAAATTTTATTTATGGAGTCTTTTGCAGTTATAGGTCACTCAGTGGCGCAAATGGTTTGTGTCTGTCTACTAACCTAAAGGTTAAAGGTGCAAGCCTACATAACAACACTATAGAAGAAAGGCCTAACAATCTGCTTCCATAAAGATTACAGTCTAGAAAACACTATGGGTAGTTCTACTCTGTAACACATGGGGTTGCCATGAGTTGGAGTTGACTTGATAGAAATTGATTTTATTTGATTTTGAAATTTATAAAATGCTTCTATATCCATCACTGCACTTATTTCTCACATCAGACCTTTATGCATGCATAATCACTCCCACTCATCAGAAGAAGACCCAGGGAGCTCATGAGTTTTGTCCACATTTCATAGCTAGTAGGTGGCAGAGTCAGAGCTGACTTGGGTATCCTAATTTGAGTTCGGGACACATGGGCTCCAATGACCTTAAAAGAGTCTGGGATGGAGGAGGAAAAGACTAGGGGAAAAAAATATTTTCCCCTCTAGATGAGCCCACCTCTCATCCTCATAGGAAAATTCTAGGTTCCTGAATCCATCACAAAGGGCCCTAAGTCAGAAGTCACATCCCACCTTACTCCACCTCCACTCATGGCCATGAATTCAGTCTCATCAGTTCATTCTGTTGTTATGCGCCATCAAGTCGGACCTGACTCATAGCAACCCCTCCTTGGGTTTCTGAGGCCGTATCACTACAGAAGTACATTGCTCAACCTTCCTTCTGAGGAGTGGCTGGTGGGTTTGAACCGCTAGCCTCTGGTTAGCAGTCAAGTGCCTTAGCCACTATGCTACCAGAGCTCCTCGTTCATTCTGTGGATGCAATAAATGTTTGCTTCTGGTGAATGTGTGTCTTATATGGTTTTCTCTCTTGTTTCCTCAGAAGCAGTTCTGGATTACTTATAATGGTGCGTAGGCAAATGGTTCATTTTGACCCCACCTGCCTCCCCTCCCCATCCACCCTCTTTGTCTCAGCATACTCACTAATGCCAACTTTTTCTACAGATGCAAATCAATGTGCCTCAAATCCATGTCAGAATGGAGGCTCCTGTATGGACGAGTTCCAGTCTTACATTTGCTTCTGCCTTGATGATTTTGAGGGTCGGAACTGTGAGACAAGTGAGGCCCTGCTTCCCATCCCATAGTTTGCAGAGAGGGGCCCCTGGGAAGCTGATGGGAGACAATCTGGTCAACCGAGCTTCAGGGTGAACATCCTCTGGCTGAGTATGGGGACCAGTCCAGCCTGGGTTCAAAGCTCTGGTGGGACATTGATTTAGGTGACCTTCCAATCTGAGACTCTTCAATCTAGGATTCTAAGATGGTAATTGTCCAATTTTATTACTTCCAATAAATATAAAAATCTTGGGCCCCCAACCCTGGGAAATTCTGATACACGTGGACAGGGCATAGGTGAGAGTAACTACTTACTTCTTATCTCCTACATATCCCATCAGCCAACACAATTTTGGTAAACTTTACCTTCTCTCCTAGATACTATGTTACTTTTTGTGCTTGGTATTACTTTACATTCTCTACTAGGTATTATGGAGATTATTATTAATTTTTTTTTACCTTTAATTATTAAAGTATTACAAAATTTGTAAATCCCCAATATTACCCTCACTTCTGACACCAATTGCAAGTACAGGAATTCCCAAGAACTACCCCCAGGTAGAAAGACTCTTGGTATTCACTGAAAACTATTTATTCATGGTTGCAGTTTATTACAGCAAAATACAGATTAAAATCAGCCAAGGGAAGAGGCATACAAGGAAGAGTGCAGAAGAGTTACAAGCATGAAGCTTCCAGTTATCCTCTCCCAGTAGAGTGGTAGACAGCACTAACTTCTCTCAGCAATGATGTGTGACAGTACACACAGTATATTGTCATTCAGGGAAGATCACCTTGGCCTTGGTGTTCAGAGAGTGGTGGACACCATTAACTTCTCCAAGCAATGATGTGTGAGAATACACATAGTGTATTGCCAATCAGGGAAGATCACCTTGGCCTTGGTGTTCAGAGTTTTTGTTGACACTCAGTCACTTATATGTGTCTGACCTTAAGTCTCCAGCTCCTCCAGTAGTCAAGCTGATATCACTGTGGCCCCAAGCCTACACCGTAAAATCACTTTATTAGCATAGACTATCCAGTGTGGCCCAGAGCCCCCAGAGAAACAAAGATACCCTCCTCAGGCAGGACATTCCAAAGACTTAGATATCACCTCCCAGGAGTTGAGGGCAAAATCTTGACTTCTTCCTGGGCAAAGTTTGTTCTCTACTGCACAAGTATACAATCTGACATTGAACAAGTTTTTCTGGGCCACATCCTTCTTCTGTTCTAAGGTGTGCACTTGGTTGTGACGCAGATGTCATGTTGGGAGAGGAATTAGAATGATAGCACAGCTACTCCTCTCCTTGCTCCAGGTCTGCTACCACAGGTAAAGTCCAGGGAACCAAGAACATGGAATAGCAGTGAGGGGGCAGCACTAGTACACCCAAGAGAAGGAAGAGGTACACCTTTTTGGACATATCATGACTCACAATTGCCCTCAAATTTTACTCAAATATACAAGTAAAATATCATGTGTAACCAAAACACTTCAAGAGTTGTTTAATATATCTTAGAGAAAATAAATATTCATTCTCATTTAGCTTAAGATGGGCTAGATCATGGGATATTTATTGTGCACACATAAAATGAAACCTCCCATGACCACCATAAGTATAACTCTAAAAACCAAACTCACTACCATTGAGTCAATTCTGACTTATAGCAACCCCTCCTTGGGCTTCCAATGAGGTATCTCTATGAAAGTAGCTTGCCCAGTCTTCCTTCCAAGGAGTGGCTGGTGGGTTTGAACCACTAGCTCTCTGGTTAGCAGTCAAATGCCTTAGGCACTACACCAGCAGAGCTCCTACCACAAGTGTGCTGCTAAGAAAAATATCTACTCCTTGGTTGTTAAAGACATGTTTTCATCACATGGCTTGATGTCCAAAGTCTGATCTCAGGTTAGTCTTAAAGAGTTGAGGATATTAAGTCCCTAAAGGTATAGTTGAACATGGAGTATTGAATAAATGTTAACTTAAGGAGTGTTGAAGACCCTGTCTCTCCAGCAGTTCTCACCAATATGTAAGAGAAAAGTTATTTGGCCCTAAAGACCCACCTACTAGGCAAACCCCATGATGGATCGCTTATTATGGAGAATCCTTCTGAGGAACCAGTTATCCCGCCTTTGTTCCTGTGATGATGGCAGGAGGACATGTTCTAGGGCTCTACTATATTAACACTGGGATTAGACCAATGGTTCTTTGCCTTTCTTTTGTTAACTGTCCTGACTCATGGTAACCCCATGAACAATGGAATAACACATGGGCCTGTTCTACACTATCTCCATGTTCAATTGTGGATTGGACCATTGTGATCCATAGGGTTTTCTCTGGCTGATTTTTGGAAATAGATTGCCAGGTCTTTCTTCTTAGTTTATCTTAGTCTGGAAGCTTCCCTGAAATCTGTTCAGCATCATAGCAACACACGAGCTTCCACTGACAGACAGGGCAGTGGCTGCACATCAAATGCATTGGCTGGGAAGCAAACCTGAGCATCTCATGTGGAAGGCAAAAATTCTATCACTGGACCTTCAGTGCTTTTCTAGGGTCTATGAAATATATCCACACACACAGACACACAGATATACAAAATTCAAACATGTTTACAGATACTCACAAAATTTTATAGAGTTCCTAGGGGCTCACAGGCTCCCTGAGACCCATTTAAGGACTTGTCCTTGCTCTGTATATTTTATCCTTTCTCTAACCACTGGAGGCATTCCTTTGCCAGATCTCCATGCAGTTGTCTACTATTGGTATTTCTTCCTAATGATGGAAATTAATATTTTTAGTAAATAATAGCTCTGGTAGCATAGTGGCTAAGACACTTGCCTGCTAACCAGACGGCTGGCGGTTCAAACCCACCAGCCACTCCTCGGAAGGAAGGTTGGGC